TTCACAACTTCGCCAAATTCTGACTTCACAATTTAAGTATTAAGAAACGTCGGGAGAGAGTCCCTAAGATATTAGTGACTGACAATGGCTCTCATTTTGCGGCAGACATGATCATTACTATCTAGCTGAATTTTATAGAGTCCAAACAACTGTTAGCTACTCTCAGACACACCTATTCTAGTATTTGTAAGATCCATTTTGAATGTTTTGTGTGTTGGTGAAAATCCCTCCATGTATATACTTGCACTTTGTTCCTATTGATTCCCTTAGTTGTACACTGTTGTATTTTGATTACATTTGAATTGTTAATACTTGTATTTTTTATTATAGATTTTGTTTTTCTTACGCATTCACTAAGTTTGTGTTTCTTTCTGAACTGCATCTGTGTTGTTTTACTTGACACTTGTTCTTGGCGGTAGCCATATTGATTTGTTCCTCCTTTTGTGTGTGATCTATCCAGTCAAGATAGAATAACGTTCATTTGTTGTGACTGGTAATTTTTCCTCATCTTCTATCAACTTCTTTATTTATTGTAATCTAGATTTAATTGATTGAACAATCATTGGTTGAATAGCCGGGTGGTAATATTTGTTTAGGTAACGATTTACCTATAAATTTATGATGAATTATAGAACCGCTATTTACCCGATTACTTGTTTTGATTTCGACGGGAAAGGGCGCGTGTCTAACGTACCCGGACGGCTATTTTTCTATCCAAACCGTAGTTTGGATTCTACAGTATTCAGGCAAAAAATTTCGTCAAGACATTCAAAAACGCTATTATTTCCGCTGCTGCTTTAACATTTTGTGAACTGGAGAGGAGATTAGACAGATTTCTGCTACAATATGGAAATGCTAAACATTCTGGAGCGACAGGGACTTCATCAAAGTTATTAGGAGAATGGATTCTTCATCCAAATATGAGTTACTTAGAGTCTTTAGAAGTTAAATATTATCATGGGAATGATATTCGGCCAGCCACGGGGATATTTGCAGTGAATTTTTGAAAATCTACTATTAGAATTCTAGATCTCATTGATTTAAGTACACATAATCGACATGTTGATAAATTGCAATTCCAGGGACCATATGAGTGCTCTCATATCGGCAGTCGATCCTAATATTAATGAGAATATTCTAGGTTACATATAATCCATATCCAAGACGCAACCGGTCAGGTACATGGTGAAACTAAGGAAAAGGCATACAATTCATCATAGAAATTCGGGTTGATATTTAAGCTGTGACGGTCCTGGTATTTGCACTTAATGGTAATTCGTTTGTGCTTGATTGCTCATTGATTACGAATACGAAATGTGATACGTTCATTTGTGTTAATGTAGTATTACCTACCTAAAACTTCATTATTTATGGAATCATTAGTTATTACATTAATTCGAATACTTATAATTATCAAAACCTGTTCAGATTTGTAAGTGATCTATAGCGGTATTGGTACCTTAACACACGATCTTTGAAGCCAGACAGATGATGACTGAGAAGATTTACATCTAACACCTAACACCTAGAGTAAGTGAAATGGCGAATGTTGCAAAACTCAACCGGTAGGACATGACTCGGCCATGCAAGTGTGAATACTCAATGCAACCTCTTGCTTGTCATATTATATGTTATCCTTTTTCATACTCATATATATTATTCGAGAACCCTTAGCGCAAACTAATGACTGTCAAGATTGTACGAATCATCATATATAGGGGTGTGATTTCCACGTAAGTCTGACAGACCAAATATTCATATCATGAGAAATCCACAACTGTGGGATAGGTCAATTCCATTCTGGTGGCATAAATAAATGTACTAATATATTCATATACAATAAATCTACAGATATTTTCCAATCATTCTTTTGTACTAATGAACCGAGTGCAAATGTATAATGAACGAATTTGTCAAACTCCCCGGAGGTAGGTAGGACACACATTCAAAAAATTACCAAACTGCATCACGAGTCATGCACCAACTTGAAATCCTGAGGAAAAACGGAAAAGCGAAAGGCCAAAGAACACACTACGTCGAGAATTGGAAGCAGATATGAAAAAGATGAATATTAGATAAAACACTGTAGCGGTAAATAAATCCCCAAAATAAATAGCACTAAGTTTTTGACATTGGATGCTGACCATATGTTTGAGTGGACTTACCTAGCTGAAGGCGCTCGGTCAGGCATCCGCACCAGATCACGTGTGGTAACGCCGTGATCAACATCAACCGCAATCGCTAGCCAGAATAGATCAGAGAATTCCGATATATTGATCATCGCCAAATATACTCTTCCGATCTCCTCGACTCTGTCTTTTGATTTCTCTGGGCGGGAACGAAATATATTAGAAGGTGTTACTGGTAGAAGCGTTGTCAAACACTGAATACCTGTGACATCATCAACACAACTGGAACGGATTGCCCTAGATAGAGTAATATAGAGAGTGCTGGTGGGTAGCCTATGCACCTTCACGAGGAGTAACAGGTTTAGGGAAGGAAGAAGATAATATCAACGACGTCTAAACACCCCATCACCATATACTCGACCACTTGCATGGCTACAAGGAAAATAAAGTCGTTATGACACTATTGGAACGAAATCTGCTTAACAATACACAACCCATACTCTGTACAACAATATTTGATCAATTCAGAAATCAGGAGGCTCACAAAGATGTGAAAACAGGCCGTTTTCCCTCCAATTTTTTAAAGAGACAGTAAACCTCGAACTTTCAACAGACTGGTAGTGATCTCGCTCCACGAAGTTTTAGATGCTCGTGCTTATTGTATTAGAGACATAGCATCAGTCGATTCGATACTTCACTAAGTTCACCCACTTCGTGATCATGTACAATCTTTTATAAAATCGTGTACACATCCTAACGCAGGAAACAACAATATTGCTGAAACTTCTTTTCATAGAAAGGATATGGTGGAAGTTATTGGATTCACGTTCAAATTTAGGTGTAAAATACAGCTTTAATTATTCCAACCCGTTGTTAGAATTACAATGAACGGTGAACAAAATGCAATGAGTGGTTTATTTCACCAACCTTAAAGTAAAAATCACTTGTAGACAATAATGGTTATTCATTAAACCTTTCTAAAAGTCTTTCAGCTCTTCTTTTCTCTTTTTTTCTGCACGATCTGCCATCTTCCACAGAAAACACTTTTGTGAAATATGCGGATGATCTCACTGTATGTATACCTATCTCTTCCTCTTTACATCCCATAGAAATGAATGAGTTTTTGTCTCGTATTGATTGTTGGTCTGTTGGTAATGGTCTTATACTTAATCCGTCTACATGTCAAGCTGTTAACTTTAGCATGAGACACGAACGACATCTAAACACCATTTTGAGATCCCTTAATGCTTGTGCCATTGGAGACTCTTTGATAAACTCAGTGTCGAAGGTCAATTATCTTGGTGTCACCTTTTCCTCTGATCTGTCTTCGTCTTCCCACGTTTTATTGTTATCGAAGAAGGTTTTCCGTCTGACTTACTACATAAAGAGATTGCATGCTCTTGGGAGTACTCGTCATTTACTCTTACAATTTGTCAATTCTTGCATATTACCTATTATTCTTTACTGTTTTCCATTATTCTTTCCCGGACTTTTGAGAAAAGACCTTGCTGTATTGCGGAGAATGCTGAAGGCAGTTAGCAAGACGTGTGGTGAATCTTTCGAGGTCATAATTATTATGGCTGTGGATAGACATCTAAAGTCATGCAAACTCCTGGCAGGTGTTAATTTATCAGATGCTAACCATCCTTTTCATTCTTATCTTTCTCCATGTACATCTGGTAGAACGAGACGTAATTACATTAAAATCCATGCACGTAGGCAAAAGTATAAAAGTTCTATAATACCTTACCTAACAAATATGCTCTGTGACGAACGGGTTGTTAAAGTTAACCTAGTCAACAACCTGCATTCTTGACATGTCTCTAATTTGAAAAGTAGTACGGTTTTTCAGATTTTTTTAGACCTTTTTTCCTTTTTTTGTCTTTGTTTCTGTTCCTTTGTGTAAGACACTTGTTGAAATACCCTGTGCTGAGAATTTTTATATTGTACCAAAATGTAATACTGAATAAAGCCATTAATAATAATAATATTACGTATGCTGGCTTTGCTCACTAGCGCTGATTTTCAGCCACAACTTGTGAAATCACCAGAGCCAAAGCTAACCCCGACCAGAGGACGGAAAGCAAATTTGATTTCGAAGAAAAAATGTTTTCACAATTAAGCATGAACAATCGTATCGACAATTCAGCCTTTTTTACAGATGCACTTATCATGAAACGAAAATGTGCTACAAAGTGGGTCACAGTATTAGAGGGAAAGCTTACTCAGACATGAACATCTGGAGTTAATGTTAGTGTTATAGCGTAAAATGTTATGAAAAGCTTACGAGTGAGCTCAAAATTTTCCATAGAGTTCGCCATTGCTATCCACGAAGTAGCTGTAGGAGAACTGAATAATAAGTGACAGATACCTAAGCGAGTGTCGCTTACTCACTGTTGGACAATCCCATAACTAGCGCTTTCCCTTGCACTCCTTTCTTCGTTCATACTTTGGAACCTACCATGTTTTGAGCAGCTAGTTGAATGCCTTATAGATCGGGAGCAACTAATTTAAGTAGTCACAGTTTCTAAATGCAAATACATTCATTCATACTGAAGATATACAAACCATCAAATGACTTTCGAATTCACTTGAACTATTGCAGTCATGTAGCTAGACTGCTAACATTGATCGACAACAGAGACCATTAAACGTACATGGACGTTCAGAAATGGATTCATGAATACTCTTTCATCGATGATTGATTTTCTGGAAGGCTAATTCTCGTAGATTTCAGAGATTAAGACCAAGTATTTTACATCGAAATGCTCATTTACCATAATGCCGTAAATGGGTGGAATAATTTATCATATCTTGTTGCGTCAAGGCCTTCTGTTAACGTTTTAAAATTTATTGGAACTACATTGCACTGTCAACCGCGTATCATTTGACCTTCTATCCAAACCGTCAAAGACTAGGGATATTGGACTTTGGATATGCGCGCGCTTATCAAATACTTTGGTATATCTTCAAGACTGTTGCAATGTGGAAATGAATTAAACATTCTTTTAACACATGTTACTTAGATGATGAGTTGCTTTCCGTACGGCCATAGAGGCAATGCCTCTTCTCATTTCGAGAGGTCCGAAGTAACACAGGTATGTTTTTCTTTTATTGGGTACAATCGACCATATGAGTATATTTCAACATGTGTTAAGATGTCCTCACAATGTTTACTGATCAATTTTTCTGCCTTCCCTCACTCTGAGTGTCTTTTTGATAACAGTTGAAGTAGTGCATTATGTAGATTAGCTTTATACTGCGGAAATAAGGGAATCTAACCCAGTCGTTCTTACATATCATTTTTCTATAAATAAAGTGTTTTTCTCAGGTTTTTCTTCAGGATTTATTCTGCTTGGAGTTACGTTTAAATTTATTAAGTGAATAAATGCCTCACCATACATGTCTTGGGTAGTCAGTACCAACCGTTGCATAATTTTCCTCAAGAATTCTCGTAAAATGTCGACAGTATCCATTATTTTTCACCTAGAACTTTTTTTCCGGTGTTTTCGTTGGTTTATGAGCTATGGATGCGTACTTGTCGTTATTCGCTAGAGTTCTAAGCTAGTATTTGTTGACACGCTTGTTTGCTCACCCGTGTAATCAACAGAGTCCTATCCATTAGGATGAAATCGGGTAATTTCCCACAGCTTAGTCACCCACAGTTAGATCAATCAAAACAAATGTTCATCCCACCCGCAACTTGTTTTATCATCAGGTAAACACTAGGTCATGGATTTGTTTTTCAAGATTTCCTCTGGCGAGACTAATTTACGGACGAATCAATCAGGTATAGGATAACAGGTCTCGAATTTTGGCCCAAAATTCTTTCGTCCATTTGGCAAAATATCGCTTCGGCATTAAAACTGATGTCAGTTTGTAATGAAAACACAAAATCTAATCCCTAACCTTGACCTTCAAATGTAAATCATAATTCTTATTCCTCACACTGGTTTATAATGATCATTTGGTCATAGTTGTTGGGTAGACACTCTCAATGTCACTCCAGCGTCGCTCGAGGGTCGTCCATAAATTACAGTCTAACCCATTTTCCTTTAGGCCAGTCGTGTGGCATCACTAACATTTATAATGTAGCTTGGAGTCGGTTAGACGACACATGTGCTTGGCAATTGCACTACACTGTTATTTTAACATATTTTTAGATGGTCGACGAAGATTCCTCAGTTAATGTGTATATGGTCACGTTGTTACTTATCGACCTGTAACATCAACCCGAAACCTTTTTAAGGATTGGCTACATGTAATGACAAATTTACCTGATTATGTAGCTATAAAACAACATTTATGGGTACATCTCCAAACCCTAATCTTCCCGATTACTGCTTATACTCTTATTACCTCTACCACTGTGGGATTTGAATCGACAACTGCATCTCTGTGCTAATGTGGTGTGGCAACTCGAACTGATGTACGTACGTACGAAGTTCTACGTTGTTACTGACTGACTGACTGACATTCCTGGAAAAGTTACTAGTTAAAACCAACGGTCAGATATAACTATATTGTTGATTATTTGGTGTACTGGTTTTTCCCCTTATATTTCAGAACCCATGCCCTGCACTGAAGTTTGACTAAAAATCTTAGTTAACTGAGCTGTATTTCTGATTGCACCCAATAACATGTTTATCTGTTGGTTCCTAATTGTTTTATTATCTCCACTTAGTATAATTCACTGGTATATTTATGTTTCCGTAGTCTCCTCAAATGTTCACAGTATTCTACCATGAATGTTTGCTAGTGCTAATGACTGAAGTATAGCAGTTTTGAAGATTACTCTCTTTAATTGATGAATCAGTCATGTGTAGTTCCTGTTGTATTGTTTGTTTACATTATCAAGTAATAGTTTGAATCAAACCAGTCTTGTGAAATAGTGATAGTCTATTTTAAGTGTGTTAATTTATTTCTATTTTATTTAAAGGCGGATGATATAAGTAGTTATAGTTACAAGTTTAATTAACGTGGAGTCTAAATCTTGTGTATTTATATGTACATAAATTCATTGTATTCCTCGTTGTCGTTATCATCGGGGTAATTTATCCTATCAGGCTGTGTATTGACAACTGTTCATGCGTTTATCTATTTTAAGGTTCAGGGCGGCCTGAGCAAGAATTAGTATCAGTCCATATAATTGTCAACTCTTGGTCTAAGCTACATTGATATGTAAGTTTCTTAGTCAAGATCTGTGAGACATATGTATTTATTAATTCTGGATTAAGTAATATTTTTGTACAGTTAGGTGGTCATGTACTCTAATCTTTGTTGGAATCAATAACACTTCTCAACCGTTTAAGCTGAAGTTCCAAGCTACAACGTAACAGATGGAATTCAAATTCTTTTGCTTTGAACTGCTGACTGTGTATTATGTTTCAAAATAAATCACAATGGAACAAGTGTTATCATTCCTTATCTTCCTCTAGACCTTAAGGGATGTATTATGTCATGCCTTTTGTTTGTTTTTGGCTGTTTTGACTCATTTTGCCGCCTCATTATGATTCTTACTATTATTATTAACCAATTCGTTCATTAACTTGTTAGTGTGAGGTATAATATGTTTGATTTACACGTTTCTGTTAGGTTGTAAGTTTTATCCTTAGTCGGAGTCATAAAAATGTTCTTACATATGCAAGATTGAACGTGTTTTGTACTCATGTATTAGTGAAATTATGACTGTCAGCCCAACGCTCACATCAAATTAATTGATTTCCTTAATGAGCGTCTATCACGTGTCTATTTGGTCAGTTCATTCGAGTACACAGTAATGTAAAATTTAATTAATCATACAGAGATGACCCACTAAAAGTAGTGTAAATAAACGGGAGGAGGGAAACTAGACAATTGTTTAAAACTACTATTTGAAGAGCCTTCTCGAAAGACACACATGATCATATCTTCTCAGTTTCTCCCTTGGAAGTCTTGTTGTCTGCCTTAAAGTTATGGGAGTTTTTCTTGCAAAAGTAAATATCTGTCGATATATTCGGTTTTCTATATATAAATTCAGGGGAACCGTTACTTATTGTATGTTGTTCCTCTGTTTTATAGACTAACTACTCCTACATTATTTCGGGACTAGTTTAAGGACGTCATCTGACTACGTTCTGTTATCAAGGTTACCACTAAATTCTCGATTACAGAAAAGTGAATATCTGGATATCACTTAGAACAAAAAATTAATAATAAAACACTTTTTTCTTGATTGTTGTTATCGCTTTATTTGTGTTCTTTTCTCATGTTTTTCAGAATTGGGTGACTAATCCTACACATGGTACTGATACTACAGGTGGCAGAACACCTGCACCACCCTTAAGGACAACAAGCGCACCTCTTGGAAGGTAATTATAAACACTAAGTGTATTCTTGTATCGTCCCTTCTATTTCCAGTTCCATTGAAAATATATCCTTTAAACCGAATAAACCATTACCACTTACACCAGTGGAAGAAGAAAAACGTGACAAAAAGAAATACAAAAGTAATTATTTGATTGATTTTCTTAAAATATCCTAATCGTTTTTAACTAAAGGTAGTGCCAGTAAACTTGGAAAATTCAAACCATCTATTATGCTAAATATATCAGCACCAGTCAATGTTATGCATAAAGTACACATTACAATAGATCCAGTTACTGGTGAATTTGAGGTATGTGTCTTGAATGCTTTTAGTATTGTTTTTTCCAGTGTTAATATAAAAGATAAAAATTATAATTAAAGTTCAATCACAAATAGTCTTATGGTGGCGTTTACTTCGTCCCATTCTATTCATAATATAGAACTTTTCCCGAACAGTTATTGTTTAACGAAACCTTATGATATATATGATTCCAAGGAAGTTTAGTTTGTTTTTGAATAATAAAATTGTACATTCATGAAATAATTGGCTAGATATCTAGGTGTGTCAAATCCTCCGGTCTTACTATATGTTGCTAATATCCAAAAAAAATATCAGGTGTCCAATTGTGAAAACTTCCGTCTCTTAAAAACTTGGAAATCTAATCATATCTCTGCTAATGTTAAATTTATGTGATATGATACCCAAAAATCAGGCCTAACAACCAGATCTTGATTGATTGAAGAGTGAATGGCTTACAAACTAGTTTACTTCCATCATCTATGATATCTCATCGTGTTTACTTCGTGCTAATACTTTGTGTATAAGCATGTCACTTTATTATATAAAAAATTAATTAGTTTAATGATTACCAATTCACCTTACCCATGTGACTTCACCCCATTTCATCGCGCGTTGGATTACCATTTGTTTGTACGTCACGTCCGCGAGACGATAGCAACCGGTGGTTAGAGACCTTGAATGATATGACTCAAAATCGTTTGCAATGGCACAGGTACATCCACTCTTTGTGTTCTCCCAAATTCTAATCTCCTAAATTCTTCTTGTCCTTTTCTTCTTTCTCTTTCCAAGTTTATTTCACTGGATTATACTCCTTGAATAACATCTTCAAACCCGAATGTTTCCAATTACTGCTTATACTCTTACTACCTCTATCACTACGTGATTTGAATCGACAATTGTATCTGTATGCTAATGTGGTATGACAACTCGAACTGATGTACGTACGTACGAAGTTCTACGTTGTTACTGACTGGCTGACTGTTTGTGTGTCAGTGTTCCAGTCTACCTAATTCTCACAATTCCCGCTCCATAGTAAAAGAATTTTTTAATCGCCTCAATACGGAAGTTCCGAACCTCAATTCAGTTCACAAAAATACACCAAAAATGAAAATAGAATTACTGCTTAACGACATCAAATAATTTTGACTTATAACTTATTTTTCGACTCGGTAGTAGATTCACTTTAATTATCTCAATTACTGATTTCCAGATAATTAATAGGTACTCTTCATAACGTCATTTCAAAATAATTATCAAACTGAGTTTATTAGATTAAACATAAATCTTCAAGAGATCAATCTTCGGACCTTAACTTTGTATATTAGTTGGTTAAATTATCATTGTTAATACATTGGAACAATATCTATCATTCGACACACACCCAGTATAATTAAATTATTGTCATATATAACAGGTGCTCCCAAATGCCCTGGTACGGCCGAGAGTGAGGAGAGTTCGCTCTCCATCTCGAAATGCTCCCACACGGTCACGTGTATATAGCCTCTGTCAGGGAAGTCCTACTCACTGCCTTCTCGTGGAGGGGGTGTTGTTTACGAAAATGAAAGGATGAAAAGCGAATGTCCGACCCTTTAACCGGATCCCAAACCAAACCAATGATGCACATGGGCTCCAGTATCCTGAGGGAACAAATGGCGTATGAACCAATTATTGGTCACCGGCTTCCATGGAACTGCATCTCCTTACGGTGCTCCACTGCCTTATGGATCAAACCTTCAGGTCGAAGGCTCGGGGTGTGGCCCCCTAAGAAAATCACCTGCTTCGGTTTGGGGACCCGGGCAGCAGCTCAGCCCTCACACAAATCAAATGAGATTTGTGTGGCGCATATGTATTTGATGCCTCCTTGTACCAATATCTATGTGTTAAAATAAATAATAAATAAAATATATAACAGGTATTCAAATCAGATAGTGATAGTCAGTACGTTTTGTAGTTTTTTTTATCATGGCGTTTAGAAGTTCCTGTTTGGGAAGGGGGTATACTACAATTACTACTACTGCTACCACCACCACTAGTGACTGCTTGACGGTTGTCTAGTTACTATTTAATTAATGATTGACTTGGAGGTTGTCTTTCTCAATATATACATGTATATGATTATGCTTGCTTACTTGTTGATTTCCTTATAAAAATATAGGGTATGCCTCCAGAATGGTCTCACATGTTAACGGTGGCAGGCATCACAAAATGGGAACAACAACAAAATCCAACTGTTGTACTAAATGTGTTAAATTTATTGAGTAGAAAAGATGATACTCCTCAAAAATATATGACAAGTATTATAGGACCACCAAGTGGTAAGTTGCATTGATGATAGATTGTTTTATTGTTTATGATTATTTGAAGTGTTTTATATAGTTTTAAAATAGTTTTCATTAATAATTAACACGTTAATAAGACGTTAAAGATAGATGGACTTTGGAACTTGTCCCATATCTCATTTAAGACTTCTCATCACTCCGTATTCTAGACATTTTCTGGAATAAAATTTTGTATGTTCAGGTAAATTGGTGAAAATTCCGCCTTAATGTTACTAGGTCGGTGTTTCAAAACTTTACTTATTATGATTATGAAACATATTATCGTCAGAGTTAATTGTTTCAATAGATCGACTCTGAATAATCTCGTTTTCGGAATTTATGGTGCACATGGGCACCAGTATCCTGCGGGAACAAATGGCGTATGAACCAATTTTCGGTCACCGGCTACCATGGGACTGCATCTCCTTACGATGCTCCACTGCCTTGTGGGTTAGACCTTCAGGTCAAGGGCTCGGGGTGTGGCCCCCTTAGATAACCACCTGCTTCGGTCTGGGCACCCGGGCAATATCGCAGCCCACACGCAATTTATGAACTGAAATTGTGTGGCGCATATATATTTAGCGCACTCCTGTACCAATATATATGTGTTCAAATAAAATAAAATTCGGAATTATTTCCTCTTGAAAATTGGTCTGTCATTGTTTCAGTATATTTTTTTGGAGCAAACCTTATGGATCGATTCCATCATTAGACGATATATGAGACTGGACAGTTAATTCATCAATTCTTAAAAGTTCTTTCCAGTAAATATGTATTACTTTACCAAAATCAATTATATTATAGGACTTATTAGGTATTGTTTACGAAATTGGGAGGACGAAAACCGAATGTCCGGCGCTTTAACCGGATTGGTGGATACGGAGGATTCACCTAGAGAAGTTGAAAAACCCTGATTCCAAACCAATGGTGCACATGGGCTGGCTTCAGTATCCTGAAGGAAAAAATGGCGTATGAACCTATTTTTGATCACCGGCTACCATGAGACTGCGTCTCCTCACATTGCTCGATGGTCGGGTTGTGGTCCCCTAAGAAAACCACCTCCTTCGGTTTGGGCACCCTGGCAGTATCACAGCCCTCACACAAATCGAATGATTTATGTGGTGCCTTCTTGTGTCAATATTTATGTGTTTAAATAAATAATTATTAACAAATTAATTAATATTTCCCGAATATTAATCGATATAACATACTACGGACATGATAGAGTTGTGGGTTGGCGCTTTGAATGCTCCACTTTCAATCGTTCCATCGGTCGTTTGAATCGCACCACACATAATCCGTTTGAACAGTCAAATATTATTATCATCATTTACACAAAAGGTGGCGTAAAGCGGAATACGGGGACATGTCCTTGGTAAACGAGTTGCACAAAGTTATATCAGTTATTTTCAACTTCCAACTTATGGTTTAAATGGTTAGGTTGTATCACTTTCAGTACCACACAATGTGTTCCTATGTACCTTAGTGCTTAATACGGTATATTGTACCATCTCCTTGTCAGCCTACGTCTTTGGGTAATGGAAATATTTGAAAATAAAATCCAGCATTTACACACTAGACTCTAAGTTACACTTACTATACACAGTTGTTCAGGATATTACTTTAGGGGTGCTAAAATGCGTATAGATGGAATAGGAATCATATGCTTCACTCAATTCTCGTTACTCACGTCTCTAATTCACTGATTTCTTGGAAACCGTAATTATATACTGTTACTATCGAGCCTTTTCTAAAGTAGATTTCCCTGATATCATTATTAATATAGTATTTGTCCATAGTTTATCACATTAGTCAAGCATTTGTTCCCACTCTTACATGTGTTGATGCTGTCATAATTTAGTATCTTAATGCATAGTTTAAAATTGTGTAGTTTCTGTTAGGTTAGATTTTTTTACTAGTTCCTATAATATCGGTTATTTCTCGGTGATCGATCAACTTAGATATTCCAGACTTGAAAGAAGTAATTTGTCACCCAAATAGTTTAGCTTTATCATCTATGCCTATAATATTACCTTGTTGATAACTCTCAATGAATAAAAAGTCAAAAGACTCCTGGAGATTACTTCTAGTGACCTAATGACTTGTTTTCTTCATACATCACGAGATTGCTCTGAGATTAAAATTTAGTACACAGTATCTGTTTACCCATCAGTTTGTCGAGCGTAGGATATAATAGCGAAAACTGTTCCGTTAAAAAAGTACAATCAGAAGGAATTCTCTCAGTTGGAAAAGTTCTTTCCATTTTTATTAAGAAATTGAATGAAAATTACAGCACGATCACCACTGTTTCTATTCTGCACCATGTCTAACACTATTTCAAACCACTGCTTCGCATTTTTTCACGAACTTGCAGTCGTAGCTGTCGAACAGATGTCAGTCCTGTACGATTTCCTTCCATGCAGCAGCGTCAAATCAAACTGACCACCTCTATACTTTTTCCAAATAGTCTTAGCATCGGCAAAGAAGGCAGAATGTAGAAGTTACTGAGGTAGCATTCGTAGCACATGTTCAAGCCACCGGAACCATTATTTCAAGATGATGGCATCATTTGTGTGTGTTTCTTTTTTCCTGTTGATGTTAAGGACTCCAGACGACCAATCCCTATTGACATACGTGCATGTTGAGCGGATCGCCTCCATGTTGACATTTAGTCAAGAAACTTGGTGAAGCTGAATTATAGTTAGCAGTTAAACCCAGGACGTGAGTCCTACCCTTTTTGGAACCCATCAACTAGCTGTTTGGATTTAATAGTTCAGTAGATAACATGTTGACTCTTGAAGCGGTATTGTGGTAATTGGTTCACATCTAAGTATAAATGTCGACATTCGGATGTAACAGGTTCATTCAACTGTGTGAACCCAAATAGGCGAAAAGTGCATCCTAGATTTAATTACTAACCATACTTCAGCCTGACTGTCGAGCCAATCCGCTAACAAAGACTGATCAGTAGCAATTCCAAATAACATCAGTTGGAAATTACAAAATGTAACCCGTCTGCAATTAAACACATAAACATTAGTACAAGAAGGCACCAAACAGATATGCGCCACATAAATCATTCGATTTATGTGAAGGCTGTGATACTACCAGGGTGCCCAAACCGAAGCAGATGATTTTCTTAGGGGATCACTCCCGAAGCATTTGACCCAAAGATCTAATCCACAAGGTAGTGAAGCAACGTAAGGAGATGCAGTCTCATGGTATATGGTAACCAACAATAGGTTCATATGCCTTTCGTTCCCTCAGGATCCTGGAGCCCATGTGCACCATTGATTTGGAATGAGGGTTTTCCAACATCCCTAGGTGGACCCTCCATATCCGCCAACCCGCTTAAAGGTCCGGACATTCGCTTTTTATCTTCTCAATTTCGTAAACTATAGTATTTCCACGAGAATGCAGTGAGTAGGACTTGTATGGCAGTGGTCGTTTGCACGTGGCCATGTCAGAGCATTTTGAGAGGGACAGTTGACTCTCCGCACTCTCGGTTATACCAAGGTATTTTGGGGCAATCTACTTAATTACTGATTATCAACTGTCATTAACCTGATAAGAATCGTTTTCCAATAAAAAGCTGTTGTTTTATCACTGTGATATAAACTTACTATTTCAAACCATGAAGTAGGGAGATTTTGATGTATAGGTACTCTAACAAATCATCATACATAATCAACTCTCATAGAGCTTAATACATTTGAACAGTCAAATAACAAATGATTTTAAATAGTTAGTTGTAGTCAACTAAACATTTCATTACATTAATACACATCCTAGTAAAAACATCCTTCTCCTTATGTCATTCAATTGTATTAACAAAATGGAATTAGGAAATATAAGTTTCTACCGAACTTCAGTTTGTTAATTAATAATAATATCAGAAGGGGTTTTGTGGAGATTGTAGTAATTTCAACAGTTGAGATCATGATTCAATTGAAGCTAGACCACCATGGAAAACCTGGAAGCACTGGACGGCCATGGTGGTGGTCTAACTTCAATTGACTCATGATCTCAACTGTTGAAAGTACTACAATCTCCACAAAACCCCTTCTGATACTAATCAACATATGCTCACTAGTGACTGACTTCAAGAGATATATCCTGGAGTTCTAGTGAGAAGCCGTTACCAGTGGAGTTCAACCGGGTCAGTTGTGAGATAGTAACTCACTGATGACAATGGTAGATGTGTCGCTCAGTTTCGTGGATTAGTTAAAGTTAGACATTAACACCGTTGAATGCCGGCCAACTCAGTGGTCTAGCTGGTTAAGCACCTGGCGCGAGACTGATAGGTCCTGGTTTCGAATCCCGCGAGGCGGGATCGTGGATGCCCACTGCTGAGGAGTCCCACAATGGGACGAAACGGCCGTTCAGTGCTTCCAGGTTTCCCATGGTGGTCTAGCTTCAATTGACGCATGATCTCAACTGTTGAAATTAATAATAAAGCAATTAATTAGTGCGAGACAAAAGAAATTTGTTCGGAACAATAAATAAATCAATATGTGATTGTTGGACTGCATTTACTTATATACCTATTCAATTTTTGTACTATAGCTAATATTATTCAAAATACCAATAGTGTTTTGAGATGCAACTTACCAAAGGAATACAGGATCATGTGCTGGTTAGTAATCACTAACATAAAGATTTCATTGATCTAAATTTCGCTGTCCCGATCGTACTTGCTCTCTTAATTGGATAGTTGGCCTTACCTGTCGTGTTGACCCTGTAAAGCTATATTGGCTAGGAAACTTGTTTCTTTAGGCTCTACTATGTCAGAAATGTCGGCTGGAGTACTGTATTGCTAAAAGCATCAACTTAAATTGTGATGAAGTTGTACTGCAGCTTGTGGAGATACTACCTCCTCACAACAAAAGGAAGGAGTTAGGAAATGTCAGTTCTGAAAATAGCACACCTTACCTTTGATCTAACGACAAAGAACAGATGCCTGAATTATACTGAGGCAGTGTGATCGGGCCGTTTAT